ATACACTTGTTAGCCACCAGATAGATATCTAAAAGTCCAAAAAGAATGTTGGAAATACCGAGAAACAAAATTCATTTTATATTGAACCCAATGTCTCTCTGGCAGTAGTTGACTGTACTATTCCTATTGTGAATTGCAGCAATCTTGAATTTTCTCACATACGCAAGATGCACACTTGCTACACACCAGATTTATAAAGAGTAAGGTTAATAAGGATGTCAACATGTTTAAACATCAAACGGCTTTATTTCGTGTTGGAATCAATGTCTGAACTGTTCTATTAATTGACACCTATGTGCATTTGAATGATATATTCCTATGACAACTGGCAGCTATCTTGGGTTTTCTCCGAATAATACTCAAGGATACATACACTTTCAAAACACACAGAGTCTTTCATAAGGATAAATAGGATATGAAAAACATTTAAAAACGACCCAAAGTTAACTACATTTAAATCGTACTCAGTGTATCTCTAGCATTATTTGATTATGTGTTCGAATATTCTTATGACAAAAGTCAGACATCTTGAATTTTTTCAGAATACCCAAAGATAAGCACATGCTACAGACCAGGTATACATCATAGTGGTAATAATAAATGGAATGAAAAACTTAAATTATTTTTAAAACAAACCCATGGAAATGTAATTGTATAATGAACCGTATGCCTCTCTAGCAGCAATTGACACCCACCCATTAGTATTCCTATGTAAAATTGTAGGTATCTTTTTCTCAGAATATCCAAGGATGCACACTATTTACCCACCAGAAAAATATATCATAGGACTAATAAGAATGGGCAAAACTTGATAAGCAAACATAAATTCACCCTGGTAGTAGATGAAAAGTCATGGATGTGCAGTTGTAATTCCAGTAGTATTCCTATGGCCAGTGACGGCCATCTTGGGTTTTCTCAAAATGATCAAATATGCACATTTATTACCTGCTAGATATGTATCACAGTGTAATAAAAATGTGTAAAACACTAAAAAAAAATAAACTGAATTTGATAGTGAATTAGCTGGCATTAGTTCCCACCCTTTGTAATACTAGAAGTATTCCTATAACATATGACGGCCATCTTGGATTTTCTCAAAATGCCCAAGAATACTGTTAGTTACTCACCACATACATATTGTGTGGGTAGAAAAGATGTGGAAAACACTCAGAAACCAGCTTAATTTGATAGTGAAAAACTAATCTTTCCAGTTGCCATTAGTTGAATCCCCCGTATACTAGAATTCCTGTGGCACATGGCAGCCATCTTGGATTTTCCAAAATCCCCAAGAACACTTCGTAGTTATTCACCACAAACATATTATGTGGGTAACAAAGATCTGAGAAACAGACTTAATTTGATAGTGGACAACGTATTGTTCTAGCTGGTAATAGTTGTGCACTAGTATTTCTATGGCTGTTTGTTTCTATGGCAAATTACAGCCATCTTGGATTTTTTAAAAAGTCCAAGGGAACTTGTTTGCTATCTGACATATATGAATAAAATGGGTAATAAGGGTGTGGAAAACTCTGAGAAAATAATTTATTTGATAAAAATCAACATAGGTATGTACATATTTCTAAAGAATTCAATAAATTGGCGGCCATTTTGGATTTTTTGGCCAAACGGTAAATTTTTTCCGTGGGCTACGGCTCTAATTTGATTTAGAATGTCAAAAGGTACCCACATGCAAAATTTGATGCTTTTATCCGCCGTGTCACGATTTTTTCCTTAAGCCACCGGACTATAAGCCAAGTAATGTAAACAGTAATACTACCAACATGTAACATGGACCTACAAATAACATACATGCTTGGCTATCACCTTCTGGCTGAGACTGAATAAAGGATATTGTGTTTACATGGCAAATTCATAAGATTCATTATAGAAATTCTACATTATTATTTTATTTTATTATTATTATTATTATTATTATTATTTTGGCATAATAAGCTAGTGTGTTATTCTAAAGTCGTTTTGTGTGGTTTTTATAAAGTTTTAGAAAAACTCAGCAGTATGTTAGATAATCTACTTATTCAGCTTTTCTCTAGGCTCTCCAAAGAGACACAATGTTTTGATTCGTTTGATTACCCCACCACCAGTGCCACCTCCACACGCACACACACACACACACCACTCCTTCTGTACGTGCTACGCCTATTAGTACCACTGTAGTACTACCAGTGCCCGTGCCACTGCACAGGAGAGCTGGAAGGGACTGCCTGGCATTCTGCATGTATGATTTACTAAAGAGATGTTCCTGTACCTCATGTTGTATTTTTCAAGTTTTCACTATAGGCCAAAGCTTCTTATTTCAATCAGTCTTACCATTAGGTACTAAAAATACTGGAAACAGTGTGTATATTATATCATAAGGCGCACCTTCGATCTTCACTACAGTACAGCCAGTCGAAAATAAATGAATGAGCTACGCTCCAAAGAGAACCGTACTCCCATGATGTAAGAATTCATACCGAAAGATAAGTAATAACCTTCAAATGTTTTTCGTACACAACACATGCACAGTAAGCAAAACTTACGGCGTTCAACTTTTAATCTTCAGTATACGTTCATTTACTCGAAATGATGACACGGCGTGCGTGTATTATCTTCTGGCATGGAGGCTGTGAATAAATGGCTCTTCACCTTAGCCAATCAAAAGCAGTGCTCTCACGGTTTATCCAATCAGGTTGCGTGATGTCAAATTGACCTATTTATCTTTACCGCGGGTAGTAAAGACCTCGTGACATAAATATTTACCATGATGATCACCTCATTGATGGGGTGATTTCTACGTGTAAGCGTAAGCAACATCCCTTCCAATTAGGGCATTAATCACCACATATAACATTACATCTGAGCAACGTGAAAAGTTTTTTTTTATTCTGGAGAGAACAGATGCAAAGTAATAATTACCTCCGCCAAGGAGCTAGGTTATGTTTTCACCCCTGTTTGTCTGTTTGTTTGTCTGTCATCAACATAACTCGAAAAGTTATGGACCGATTTTGATGGAATTTTCAGGGTAGGTCAGAGATGGGTTAACTTAGAAGTGATAAGTTTTTGGTGGTGATCCAGATCTATAATCAACCAATAATCAATAATATATAAAAAAAATCGCTGCCTTGGCGGAGGTTTGCGCTCTCAGAGTGCTTTTCTAGTTTACTGCATATTATGCTACAATAAAATAAAAATGGGACAAAAGAGGGAAGTTGTCTGCAAACGATTTTTAAAAATTATTCACATGATACATACGTTACCGGGGGTTGACCCAGGATTATTTGAAAGGAAAGGGGGGGGNAGCATTATTTATTATTGCATCAAAATTGACAAAATGACCTATTTTGCATCTTTATTTTCTGTTTTTTGTCTGTACATTTGACAGCTTTGCTGTCTTGTCTAGTTTAGGGGCCTACTGCATATTATGCTACAATAAAATAGAAATGGGACAGAAGAGGGAAGTTGTCTGCAAACGATTTGTAAAAATTATTCACATGATACATACGTTACCAGGGGTTGATCCAGGATTATTTGAAAGGAAAGCAGGGGGGGGGGCGTTCGGAACGACAGGCCTCTGATGCAAAGCCGACCATATATAGCGCCCTCGGCGTGGGGTTCATGGCCTGCTGAAGGGTCCCGAAATTATTTTGTTGTGGGGGAAGAAGGTAGTGGCGTCGATATCTTTCACGATGAAGCCAGAACCCTACTACAAATATAAGAATGGTCATTGCGGTAGTTGAGAAGCACCTAATGCTTTCTATGCTCACCAGTCTTAGTCTTCCAGTCGTAAAACGGACACTGTATTGTAACAAAGTTAAAAACGTGAAAAAATTACATAGTACTTGCATGATGAACAGATATGATATAATGGAAAGAATAGACAACCCTAATATCTCATGGATTTTTTTTTATCTACACTCTCTCACATTGTTATCTTGCATTCGGAAAAAGATTTATTTAAATCTGTATAATGAATGTGAGCCGAAAAGACCTTGATAAATGTCAGAAAATGTTTAAAGTGCAGTTAAGCTTATGAATCCTTTTAAGAACAAAGTAATCATTTAAGTGTTAGTAACAGTGAAAACCTTTTTTTACATCCTTTGTTTAAGTTTTTACCTAATTTCTTTTTTCTTTGATTTTCTGCTACTTTATTTCTCTTTATATATATATTTTTACTTTATATTTCATTAATTATTTCTTCTTTTTAGTAAATACGCTCCTTTAAACAACATTTTTACATGGTAATGATGTTAAAACACGTACATTTGCACAATACTAAATGTCACAGTACTGAATGTTGTTAGGGTATAACTAACAGATTAATTTTTTCAAAAAATGTTAACCATATAGATAAGCATATTTTTATGTCACTATTGTAGATATTGTTAGTTAATAGCCTTTTTTCTTCTTTTCTTTTTTATTACCTTTTATTTTTATTTTAACTTGTAAAATGTGATGGAACCAATGGATTTTTTTGCTAACAATCTTGACCAAGTTATCAGATCTGGTTTATCGAAAACGTAAGCCTGAATATGTTATATAGTGACATAAAATTGTGTGCCACGAATTGTGAGTTTTCTCGCAACAATGATAAAGATTATAATGTTCTGTTCTGGTTTGATACATGCAAACATGTAGCTACAAGCAAACATGTGATGATCAGGGGCGGACCCCCAGGATTATATGAAGGGGGGGTGCGGATGCGAAGCGTGGGGTTCGGGGCTCGCTGAAGTGCCCGGGTCAAACCCTTTGGTCGGTTTAGAACTATGATTCAGCTAGTCAAAATCCTTATTTCAAGAGGGGACCAGAAATCGAAGGGGGGGGGGGGGGGGATCAGGACCCCCCTCCCCCCCCCCCCCCCCCACCAAACCCCCCTTTTTCC